ACTAGTAGGGCATGTTACATAACTTTGTGTAGTGTAAAGTGCTCAAAAGTTGAATGTTTTCTTTTGCGTCCCATTACACTATTCGGAACAATTGAATCTTTAATTTCATTTTTTTATTACAAGATCGTAACCTAGCAACCTATTTAGTGTTAAATTTATTTCGGAAAACCTCCGGAAAATTTTCTTTGGGCTCGAGAAAATACAAAATCTAAAGAAATCCAACATTAATGACGCTATCTTGTTGAGTTGTTGTCTACTGAAATAATGTTTTATTTGTTTTTTTTTTTTTGTTTTTTATATTTTAATGTGTAGTATAAAATAGTAAAATAAATTTTTATGTTTAGACAATGGTATAGGTTTCAAAAGCGTGTAAATTTAACCGATATTAATGAGACTCACTGTATGTGCAATGCGATGTCTGTTTGCGGGTATTATAAACAAAAAAATTTATTTATTTTTCAATTCTTTTGGTATAAGAATTTTTAATTATCTTAGATATGCAAATCTCACACTGTATAAAGTATTGTCAACTGAAATTCGCATTCCAAACTACAACAAAGACCTAAACCCTAGACAAAGTGACGGGAATCCCCTGACCAAAAATGATGGACCGTTAATTCAAAGTAAATTTTATTCAAGACCATTAAAGAATAAAGGGCGCATACTAATATATAGCCAAAAATACTATTATATAATTGAGTTCCAAATTTGGAGAGTCTATTAGAATAAATATTCGGGTTCCCGATAGCCGGGTTATCATAAAAGATATATATAAAAAAAAAAAAAAAATCGAATATTACTATACAATGAAGTTCTCAGTGTTGAACTTTGCTATAAATTCTACTATGAACTGAAATTTTAATATTTACCTAGAGTTGGCAACACTACGTCTGAGTACACAGGTTTTTACTGCCGATAGTTAATTTCTTAAATATTTCAAGTTACTATTGCTTTTCGTAAGAAGACTGTTTTAATATGTTTATTGATAAAATTGTGCTCACTGTGGTTTGACTGCTTATGGTAAATATCAAATTTGTGAAGTTCCGTGATATTTCATTTATCTGACTGGGCATCTTGGATTTGCTTATTGCTGATGATACTGTTGTTATTGCCGCTGTTGTGCTGTTGAGTTAAAATATCTCTTGATGTTATCTTATATTGTGGTTTTTTCAAGTATATACGAACGTATATTAATTATAAGTATATATCTTGTATTGATAAAGCCTCCAAAATATGTTTATAAGTTTGTAAGTGTGTAAAACACAATATTGGAAACCAATCGAACATCTTATATGATTTGTGTTCATTGTGGATGCACTGTTCTTGTGCCGGCATCTCAGATAGTTTTTATGGGAAGAATGGAAGAGCTTCGGTCGCTGTCCTTTATCTGTTCACCGTAAAAGCAACATTTCATCTGATGGTCGGTGTCTACCTCGAATGTTCTATTTTAACATAATGTTCTAAATTTGATGATTTTATCTTGAAGATGAATGAGGACCGCAATCTTAATAAGAATTCTCCTGTAGATGCGGTGTTGGACTTTAAGTGTGTCAAGAAGTTAAAGGGGGAAATTGTTGACTCCAGCAAATCGATTAAAAAACCTAAATCCGAAACAATGAAGGCCGAAAGTTACGCCTTTACGATTTTCCTAGTGTTTTCTAAATACTTCAAATGCTATCGTTGGCTTAGCGTCTCTCTATCGAATCCCAGTGGTTATCCAGGATATCAATCAGGCTTATTACATCAACGGAAAGAGGGTCGTACTTATGATGTTAACTCTTTCTCGCCCACCAGTAGCAAATGATCAGATATGACTTCCAGCAATTAACCTGTTGTGTCCATCACGTCGGTAAGCTGATGTGAAGATGGCTCCTTTGGTGACCTGTAGCCGTTCGCGATGAGGAACAGCCTTTGCAGGTTCTACTTATCGGGAAACGTCCTCGTTTTTAGGAATTGTTGGAACGTTCTAATGAGTTTAAGTCTCCCTCGGATCGCTGATTTTAACACAATATTTTGTATATCGTCCCGGCCAGGAGACTTTTTATCCTCTACTTTGTTACTAGCTTCCAGATCTGCGCTCTTTTATGTTCTTCAGCACAATCTTATATATCATTTCTTCATGCATCAAAATCCTTCTCGTAGTGTACGCAAATGAAGCTTTCTTTCTTGCTGCTTTTTAACGGTTTGTCCAAGCCACTGCGAAGATTTTCGTATAGGATCAATAGAACTCTGAAACTTTCTTTCCCCTAGGTTGCGTGCTGCAGATCCCTTCTTGCCTTTAGACAATTCTTTCTACGATTTCTACTTCTTGACGCGTCGCACGTCACAATCAGGGGCTTGTTCGCACCCAGCTGGAGGATGCATGTTTAAATCTTAAAATCAGTGTGGGTCTCCTTTAACATCTCTCTTGTACATTCGGCAATAAAATTACCGCTATGTAATGTATATGTAAAGGCGTTTTTATCTTTTTTTTATTTTGAACGAAATTGCAAAATGACTTGGATTCATAACCGCAAGCACACATATCTACGTCTATTCTAATTCTACAATATTTCCTTACTCGAGAATATTGATTTCCCGGTCATTTGAGTTTATGTTTAATGCAAGAGACTACTATTATTATTATTATTATTATTAATTTAGCCAGACAAATAAATTGTAAGACTAAACTCTTAAAGCACTATTATCTAAGGCTATCGGCTTTTATTAAAAACTCTACCGCACTTGAGATTCGAACCCACGACCATTACGATGTCATTAATAACATTATTGTGTCGTATGTGCAAAGACGAATAAAATGTAACAGTGTGCATTTCGATGCTGTAACTGTATCTGGCCGTATATATACGGTCAGCATTGTTTTCAAAAGACATATCAGCGCAATCAAGTTTTTCCTTTCGCTTATATTATTTCATTACCAGTACTATGCTTGCTAACTTTTTACGTGTCAAAATGCAATGCAATATTTTGCATATCGATTGAGTGATTATTAAATTTTAGTCGATTGTTAGCTATAATTTTACATAGATTGCTAACATGCAAGCAAGTACTTTTAAGTTTCCATCGTCACTTTAAATAGCAACAAGTAAAAATACTATAGTGGGCCGCGGAATACCGTTAAATATTCTACACTACCTCGCTTGACACAGTTATTCATATAATGACTTTTCAAAATTAAGGGTTATATGGGAAGTGGCCAAAAAAGTGGTCCGAACTGAACCATTTCCGATAGCGTTCGTTAATGCATCATCAAAATATCTCAAATATTGTGACCTGCAAATTGAACAGAAAAGCACAAGATGGACAGGAAAATTTCCGATTGATTCAGAAAATAATTCTGACAAAAATAAAAACTGAGTCTACCTCAAATCCTTCTAGGAGTTGTATACACTAACTTAACATACTCTCAAAATTAACATACTCTTATGCCATAAGTGAAGCAGGGTAAAAAATGAAGATGTTTTCCTCAAGTGTCAATTCATCCAACGAAGGCACATATTTCATTTTTTCATATCAAATTTTCTAATTATGTACCATATTCATTCTGGTGCGTTTGCACCTTTCAATCGAGTTGGATTGTGAAATTGAATCAGCCAAAGTCAATTTTATACCCTCCACCTTTAACTTAAAATACACTATACATTATGAGTAAAGTATTTTTTGTTTGTAAAAACCGAGATTCCTTTATTTAACGCTATGCCTCATCCGACCGATTCGGCCCTTTTTCAATGCCAACCATCGCACAAAAACTTTAAATGTTTATGCCAACTTTGAAACTGATAACTTTATGTTTATAGCTACAAGAATGTTTGCTGTAGACATTATCCAGACAGACGGACTTGTATAGGAGACAGCTTCGCACCAGTTAGAGGAGTATGTGAAAGATAACAGAAGTGACAATCGGATGGGGCAAATCTATTAAAGTGGTAAATCTATTAAAGTGTTTTAGCTAATCTGTCTGTTAACTTTTCGGCGAATCATTAAGGAGGTCAGTGTACAATTGTCATGAGCAAGGACGACTCCTATCCTATTAATCAATTCTCGGCGCTTTACTTTAATTTTATGCTTTCTTCACGTTCGCTGTTCACGGTAAACAGTAAAATAATTCGGCTTACCAGATTGAAGCAGATCGTTTTATTCGAATCGAATGAAACAAAGCATTTTCTCACATGGCGGTTATTCAGTCCGCCGTGTTTCGCTTGTGTAATTTCATTCACCTTTCATTAAATTTTTCACTCTTTCTCATATGTCATCGTACGTTACCCTATATGCTACCCAAATATCGAGTTTCTTTTCGCCTGCGCTCTTGCGTAAATGATGCAGAAGTGCTTTTGTTCAATTCTCAAGTCCGCGGCCGTGTCCTGAGATAAAATACGCGGATCTTATTTGATCAAAATGGCGAGTGTGTTTAGTATCGAAGTCGCTAGACCAGAGACGAGCGGACTAATTGCTTGCTGTTGATTTTCATGGTGCATTTTTCATAACTACTATAGGTTTTCTCACACGTTTTTGAATCGTTATAGCTTAGCTTTGTTCGGAATTGGCTTTTAAAGTAAGCGATTTTTACAGAGTATAAGTTCATTTTTAAAAGGATATCATTTTCAACTCAGTAGTTAAAAAATACCGTATAACTTTTTTTTAAAATTATTTATGAATTTTGCCTCTTTCACATGGCCTACGTTCAACTTAAAACGTATAAAGTTACCAAAAATTGCGACTTTAAAGCCAGCTTTTAGAAAAACGCTACGAAGTTTTTCTTTATCTAATGTTTAACTCTTCTCTCTTTCAAAATGATCCACCGTAACCATAAGATATGTTTCTAATGCTATTCATACATACATACATACATGAAATATGTAGGCAAGGATTTTGCACAATTACCATAAAATATTATGGATCAATTTCTAATAAATTGCCTATTGACGTGATAACAACAATTGCATTAGTTGTCAACCTAATCAATAAAACACAAAAATATATCATATTGTAATAATAATGAAAACCATAAATTTCTTAAATAAGCCACAAAAACAAATAACAACTTGATATTAGAATAGAAATTCAGTAAAATTTAGTCTTTAGTCGACAACTGTTGTTATTGCGAGAATGTTCATTTTTTTTAAATTTGAATAAAAATTTGAAATTCGAAAAAATGTCAAAAGAATTGAATTTATTAATTATCGGGAGGTCATTAGCTCCAAAGTCGCCAATTATTTTAAAGTTACCTACGCGCAAATTTTATAATAACCGATGTTCCCGGGCGGACGCTGTTAGCTGTAAACATGATATAGAAAATAATTACCGTAACTACAATTCGCGAGTGGTGCAGTTAAAGCGACATAAACGTAGACGATTTACCCTGGCAACGCAATATAAAAGAAGTACTGGTACGATTGTGATATCTTCCCCATCACAGAATATATGATATGGATCCCGTAAAATATTGCCTATGGCCACTCAACGTTTGCCAAGGTGCATTAATATTTAAGCTTTTATTTTATACCTAACAGAAAAGGGGCGATCGTATTCTTATGCTCTGCGTCTTTTATTATAACTGCAAATGCCCATCGAGACCCTAATAAAATTATATTTCTTGATTGGCATTAAATGTTTTCCATATTTGTAGATGAGATAATTTCAAGAATTCCAGATTATATTTATACATTTAATTTGTCTATTCGTCTGGCTCCCAAATCATACACTAATCTTATTGAAATGCTTGAAGCAGTAAAAATTGTAAGAGAAAGACAATAATAGGCACAAAATGATTCTAGAGTATGACTCTAAAGAAAATTGGAATACGAACATGTTCATAGAAAGTTAATAGCAAAATTTAAAGCTCAGTGATTTGCTTCTATTTGCCTTTATTAACTGATAGCCAAAGTTCGCCTTAAGGTGAGGTGAGGTGAGGGTCGCGCACCAATTTATTTGGTTAAAAAAAAAATAAATATATAATGAATTATTTATGGCTTTTTGTTATTTGAAAAACGTTTGCAGGTTTACAAAAACTCATGCAGCAACCACCACCATAACACACTTGCCATCGACATTCATTAATGGACGCCAAACCTCACGCGTGCAAAAGCAACATTCACCAATCATCTACAATGATACTGTAAAACGTATAGAAGAAAGCAGTGATTTTAATATCTTGAAACGCTTAGTATTGGATTATTTGGGTAGGCGTTGGGGCGGACAACGACTAAATCAAAACCTTCACTACTATTACGACAATAAATACAAACAGAGAGGCTTACAAAATTCAAATGATACAAATGAAATTTGTCAACCGCGCCATTTAAGAAGAAGTCTAGAAAGTGTTGAAAGTCAGACGGCAGCGACATTCACGCGCCAATATCGCAACCGTGAAACACAAGCCAGTGAAAGGTTAAAGTCGCTGCGACAAAGTGACGGAAGCCGCGGAATTAAAACGTTAACATATTATTTGCATTTGGCAAACGATTATTACGAACGGGGCTTCTTAAGCAACATCAAATACTTAGAGCATGTCGGTGTACGTAATCAATTGAGACGTCAAAGAGAACAAGAGCAACAAGAGCAACAAGAGCAACAATTACAAAAAGAACAACAGCTCACCACCGTAACAGCTAGCTTACCTGGTGCAAATGAAAGACGAACCATCACCCATAGTTACAGTCGTTTATCGAACACGTTAGCGGCAATTCAAAAATCTGAACCCTTAGAAGCAGTTAATAAAAGCGCATTTTGTAACAACAATCGCAAACAGGATATTTCTTTGAAAGATAATTATGCTCAATGTCGACATACGATACGAGTAAAAATCAATCCAATATTAAACGGAAATTTATTGAACTTGAGAACTACTTCGAGACCTTTGCTTCGTTCAAAGCCTAGTATGAATGATTATTTGAATGGTAATTTTGCATCAACAACAGCAACACATACAAATAGCCAGCAGTTCAAGCATTCATTTAACGATTTATTAAATAGTTTACAAGATTTTACATTAAATGAAAGTCACCAACAACATCCAGTGCCACTTATCATCCTAACTGATTATACCAAGGAACAATTTATAGGCGACGCCTCACCAACATCCCAAACGATCAATTTAAACCGGCAATTATATCCTTTGAATCAAAGGAATATTGATTACAATTCGAATCTTTCTGTACCAAATTTGCATAACTACCACAGCGAATCGAGGCCGCCATAAGAATTGTAGAAAATAGTTTACTTCATTTTTTACAAGCTTGTAATTTTCATTTATAGCTTATTTCCTCGAATCATGGTTGCTATTGAACATCGTTCGAAATCTTCGACTACTACTTTACTGTCACCATCGTCGACCTCATCAACCTCCTCGAATGCCACGGCAGCCAGCGTTAGTACATCATCAACTAAATCTACTACAACAATAACAGTCAAGAAAATGACCGATCTTTCAGCTTCGTCAACATCAAAAAGTGCCATTAATCAACGTCAAGTCGATGCGAAAATAACCAAAAAGTCCCACAAGGATCCGAACCCTCGTGAAGTAGCAAAACGTGGACTTAAATTGGATTTAACAACTAGCAAGGATTTGAATGACTATAATCTAAAATCGCCTAAATCACCAATAGTGGGTGAGTAGTAGATAGCGAAAAAAAAATATTCATTAAATTTCAAGGATCGCAAATATTAGCATCGTTCATATTCAAACTAAGGTGGACTTAATTAAATTGAAATTGAAATTGGAACATTTTCGCAGAAGTTTCACGGCCAACATTTTTTTTTTTTTCTCTCAGAAAACAAGTTTTTTTTTGGAAAATTTGAAGAAACTTGAAAATATTCCAGACCGTTTCTATAAATATTTAATGGAATTTGAGAAAAGTATTCATTGCGTCGTAATAATCTCTAGGCGACAATGTATTGAAATTTCCATTTCTACCTATATCAACCCTTAATTTTTTAATAAGTCAGACATTATAAGCTTGCTTCTGCTTCTTGCTGAATAAAGTATACTGGTGTGCATAAGGCAGTTATATCCCCGCCGCCACTCGGGTTATTAAAGCAATTTGTAAGTCTATAAGAAATCTAAAAAAAAAGGACGATAGAAGAGTTGGCCCGCTAAATCGATTGAGAACCTTTTGTGTTTTGTAGTAGGCCTGAAACATACTTTTACGCATTACAGATAATCAAGAAATGAATATAATGAACTATGAATGACTATGCCATATTAATTTTCATAATATTTAAAGGTTATACATATATATGTTTACATAATATATAAATATATATATATATATATATATATATATATATATATTAGCCTTTTTATATCTTTTACTAATCAATCAAATTCCTTTAGCGCGTCTACCCCATCAAACATCGTTAACATCATCGACAGATGTGGTTGAGGATCGTAAAACATTACGTGAAGCATTATATCAGGGTATATTTCATCGTCATCGACGTACCATATTTGCCGTTGGCAGCTTTCTGCGTATGCTGCGTAGCCGAAATTCGCAATACAATACCATACGCAGCTCATCGGAAGCGGAAGACGAAGTTAGATAAAAATAAATAAGCAAAATTCTATTATTTCGATATATATTTATATTATACATCAAAAATTCAGTTCAAATGTTTTAAGTGTGAAAAAAGTCTCGGAAAAGTGAAGAGAAAATAATAATAATAAGGGAACGGTATAACAAAGACAGGAAAAACAAATATAATAGAAAAATATTATGTGGGAACAAATTTCTACAAAAACAAATGTTATCGCAATTAAACTTTGTTGTCAATGTTTTATTAAATGTGCGTTTAAAATTATTTTTTAGAAGCAATGCGATGGAAAGTTTTTTTTTTTTTAATTTAAAAAAAAAAAAAAAAAAAACCGAAACATTCCGTACGCAAAAATGTTATCGATTGTCTTTTTTTATAAGTTTAGATAAGTAAAGCAATAACAAAATACCAATAAATATTATAAAAAATAGCAAAAAAAAAAAAAAAAAAAAACAAAAAATTGAACATATTTAAGTTTTATATAAAATAATTGAATTTAATTAAACGGAATGTAAGCCGCATATATAATAATATAATAAATAGTATAAAGATATTATTGTTGGGCCGCCTAATGCAATGCTTCATTTATTTAAAATACGAATAATCAATCATACCCTGTCATATCATGTAAATGATCATTTATTGAAGAAGGCCTCACGTGGAGAGCAGCCCAAAAATTCAAAAATCATGCCAAATCATAATTCTAAACGACTTGGTATCATAAAATTTTAAAAATAAAAATTTTATTTTCGGTAAGAATGTTTATACGGGTGGGGGAATCAACAAGAAATTGGCCCATTGAATTGAAGATTTTTGCAGAATAACTATTTTCTAGGAACTTTTGTTAAGAAATGCTTAAAAAATTACAATTATCCTCATATAAGAACATCTTTTTAATTGATCCTAATAGGGAGAGTATATATGGAATATACTGCAATAAAGTATCGTCTTCAACAGCATGAGCAGACAAGTTGCCTTAAATCGATTCGTACAACAAAAGGTGAGCGGAGGTATCTTAAGTACTTCTGGCTATAGCATACATCCTCGCAAACTTAACACAAATGATGTACGATAGAAGAAGAAGAATATGGATTAAATTAAAACATAAATAAAGTGTATTTTTACATACATATATAAAAACGAAGTAAACAATAATAATAATAATAAAAAAAAATTAAGTACATTAATTAAAAATAATAAATTTTGGGCGTAAATTAAATGACAAATATAAATAAGAGAAGAACATTAAACAAAAAATATTCATTAGTCAAACAATAGTATCGAGCTTTTAGTAGCGATTTTCCCATTTTCATATCAATTCTCGTTGCCAATAGTTTATTAATGAAAAAAAAGCATATGAAATTTATTCAAGTTTATATTATGTTTTTAGCATTTTTTTTTTTTTTTTAAGCGAAGTAAAATACCTCACCCTCTAATCGGGAATATATACATGAATTTTCAAACTTTATATATTTCAATCATTGCAACCTTAGGAATGTCGTTAATTTTATTAATATTATTTTTATTTAAAAGCCTGCAAAAGCGATCGTCCGGGGGCATAAAGCGCACTCGTGTACTAAATGATAATAATAACAATAATAATAATAATAAGCAAATGTTGAAAAGTAAACTCAAAATTGCCAACAAAATAAAACTAATCAAGTAAAAACATTATAGTCGGACAAGGTCGATTTTTAAATATCTTAAACACCACTTCGCCTAACACAGTTATTTTACTCATTTCCGTGATAATATATCAAAATTTGCACATTATTTTGCAGTTGAGGGGACACTTTCACGCGAAAATTCTCAAATTTCAGGGAGGGTTCAAAACGTCAATTAACATGATCCATATTTCGCCAACATAGTTTACCTATTAAAGGTAGTAATATTTTTGATATGTTTTTATTATATAAAACATCATACATAAGAGCTTACTTTTCATGGGAACTCGCTATTAAAGCCCGGGGTCTAAAAATGTAAACCTATATGATCCAAGCTCCCCACGATCAACTTTTATGACAAATTGCAACCATGAATTGATTACCATTGTAAAAAATTAAAAAATAAACCTTTTTTTTTGCCAAATTACTTTTCATTAGAATTCTTATATGAAATCGCGTTCAAAAACTTGATCAATTTGGTTCTAATTTTTATGTTGAATTACTATTGTGGACAAAATTTTCATCATAAAACATTAAAAATTAGTCCTTTTTGGCATATAAAAGCTTGGTGTTCGTAAGAATCCTTATATGGATTGCGATTCAAGTTAATGTTATGGGCCGATAGCCACCATGATATATCGAATATTTCATTTCATTGAAATATGCCGATGGAAACGATTAGAGGAAAGACCAGGCTGGGATTAGAAATAAACCCATAAATTTAGGTATAGTAAGATGCTTGTAAAATTGTATATAA